GTGGCTTATGCCCATAATACCAGTGCTTTGGGAGGCTGAGGCAGGAGGATAGCTTGAAACCAGGAGTTCAAGAGCAGCAAGATCCTCTCTAAAAAAAATTAAGAAAAAAAAAGATGATGATGATGAAAGAAGCCAGGCTAACCCTCACCCCCAAAAAACCATATACTCCAAGATTACAGTTAGATAAACCTAGGAAATGTAGCTGGGCGCAGTGGCCCACTCTTGTAATGCCAGCACTTTGGGAGGCCAAGTTGGGCAGATCATTTGAGGTTAGGAGTGGGAGACCAGTCTGACCAACATGGTGAAACCCCATCTCTACTGAAAATACAAACAAAAATTAGCTGGGTGTGGTGGTGCACACCTGTAACTCAGCTACTCAGGAGGCTGAGGCAGGAGAATCGCTTGGACTCAGGAGATCGAGGTTGCAGTAAGCCAAGATTGCACCACTGCACTCCAGCCTGGGTGACAGAGGGAGACTTCATCTCAAAAAAAAAAAAAAAAAAAAAAACCTAGGAAATGCAATGCAAACTTATCTACAGTGATAGATCATAGATCAGAGGTTTCCTGGAAGAGTGGCTGGAGGGATGACAAAGGAGCAAGAGGAAACTTTTAGGGGTGATTGATAGGTTCATTATCTTGATATGGTGATGGTTTCACTGGCATAAAAACATATCAAATTGTATACTTTAATATGTGCAGTTAACTGTTATGACAATTTTACCTCAATAAAACTGTTTAAAAAATACTTAAAGAAAAAAAAAAGCCTGGCCCGGTATATTGTTTACATCACCCTCTTTTCCAAACTGATTCATATCCTGAAAAGTAACAGAACTGTAATACCTTTCCTCTGGAAATTTGCAGGCATGAACAAAACCTTAAAACTCAGAAATTTAATTATAATAAAATTTAACAACAGTTAATATTTACATGGCTATGACTATGTGCCAGGCACTATTACAAGCATTTTTCTTGTATTAATTCATCTAATGCTCACATTAACCCCATTTTACAGATGAGGAAACTGAGGCACTGAAGGGATAAGTAATCTGATCAAAGTCACACAGCTGACAAGCAGAGGAGCTAGAATTTGAACCCAGGGAATCTAGCTTCAGAGTTAATTTCCTAACCCATTACCCTCTACTGCCATACACAATCTAAGGTATGTGAACACTAGAAGCAATGAATATTGCACTTGTAAAATACTTTTTTTTCTTACACTCACAGAATATAAATATTCACTACAATCGGCAACATCACATGAAACAAAATAAAAAACAACAGTGGCCTTCTTTTCCCAATTAATAGATGAAGGAAGGAGAGGCAGAAAGGCTAGACAACTTTCTTAGGAAAGAGCAAATAACTGGCAAGTTGACCAGTTCCTGGAAAGCTGGTTCCTCACATTCTTAATCCAATTGTTTTCATGGTTTTCAAAATCCTGATTATTTTAAGTAACACCATAAGGGAGAGAAAATCTAACATAGAAACATAAAAAGTAAAAGTTCTTTCTCTTTCCTCATACTTCTTACTGGTTCCTTAATTTCAGCCAGAGAATCTCAATCTCGGCAGATACAGGTCTGGAGTCTGTTTTTAAAGCTCCCCAGGTGATTGTTATGTGCAGCTAAGGTTGAGAATTCTCGATTTAGATTTCTCATTAAAGAAAGACAGAAGGCAGCTGGGTGCAGTCGCTCATTCCTCTCATCCAGCACTTTGACAGGTGGTGGCAGAAGGATGCTTGAGCCCAGGAGCTGGAGGTTACAGTGAGCTATAGTCCCGCCACTGCACTTCAGCCTGGGCAACAGGGTTATACCTTGTCTCAAAAAAATTTAAAAAGAAATAAAATGGGAAGACAAAAGAAAGCAAGGTGCCACAAAAAGCTTTGGTAAATCACGGCCAAAGGTTTTCCAAGTCAGTATTGAACTGCTGTCCACATGCAAACTTTTGAGTTCAACTTTTAATATATCAGAAGTACAAATATGCATTCAAGACAAGAGAAAGCAAGAAGCACAATAAACAACTTAAAAAAAAAATGCAAACCAGTGGCAAATTGGATGTTAAGACTTATTAGAGAAAACCCTACATTTCGATGTTATGTCATAACAGAAGTTACATAAAAATATATTGGGATGACAAAATCTCTTTTCAACTTTTTGGAATGCTAAATTGACATCTTAACATCAAGTCAATGAATTAAAAGCACAGAAAAACCTGTCAAATATCCACTGCATTTAGAACATGGAAATAATTGATAATACGCTGTGACTCTAGTTCAGAAGCATGGGCTGAAGAAAGAATGGGCCAGGCCAGGGTCGGTGGTTCACGTCTGTAATCCCAGCACTTTGGGAAGCCGAGGCGGGTGGATCACCTGAGGTCAGTGGTTCGAGACCAGCCTGGCCAACATGGCGAAACCTTGTCTCTACTAGAACTACAAAAATTAGCTGGGCATGGTGGCGCACACCTGTAATCCCAGCTACTGGAGACGCCGAGACAGGAGAATAGTTTGAGCCTAATAGGCGGAGGTTGCAGTGAGCCGAGGTCGAGCCATTGCACTCTAGCCTGGGCAACAGAGCGAGACTCCGTCTCAAAAAAAAGAAAGGGCTATATATTTAGCCCATGACCTGAATCAATGCTTCTTGAACTTTAAGATGCACTTCTTGAGGAAGATTCTGATTCAGCATGATTCAACAGCTCTGGGGTGAGGCATGAAGTGCAATTTTTTTTTTTTTTTTTTTTTTTTTTTGAGACGGACTTCTGCTCTTGTCGCCCAGGCTGGAGTGCAATGGTGCGATCTCGGCTCACCGCAACCTCCGCCTCCCAGGTTTAAGCAATTCTCCTGCCTCAGCCTTCCAAGTAGCTGGGATTACAGTAATGCGCCACCACTCCTGGCTAATTTTGTGTTTTTAGTAGAGGCGGTGTTTCTTCTCTTTGGTCAGGCTGTTCTCAAACTCCCGACCTCAGGTGATCGGCCTGCTTCTGCTTCCCAAAGTACTGGGATTACAGGTGTGAGCCACCGCACCTGGCCATGAAGTACAATTCTAACAAGCTCCTAGGAGATGCTGATGCTGCTGGTAGGTGGACCAAACTTTGAGCAACAAAGCCCTGTATAACTGGAACATTGCGTGTAACATTAGCCAACTGGCTTACAAATATCATTATGTCTAGGATCCAATAAATAAGCGTCAATACAATTAATTCCTACTCCAGGCCAAAAATAATTTAAAAATAAAAGTGAAAAACAGGGTTCAAGGGAAGGAGAAAGCAAATACTTGTTTATATAGTCTAGCAGTGCTAAGAACCATAAAATACTGTTATTTCTCTCAACCTAGTAGAGCTCAAGGTGATAAAATATAGGCTCCATGAGTTAATGGATTTTTTAGTTAACTGCTGAATCCTTACGATCTAGCACAAATTAGGTACTCAATAAATGCACTGAATAAATGAAGAATGGTAAGTATATACAAACGCAATCTATTTACGTCACATCCCCAAAAATGTCTGGGGAGGGGGCGGTATTTGTACTTCTAGATGCAGGTTGCCATGATTTGATACAAATACCGGGCCCATCTACTGAATTCCCTTTGTCCGAAGTTAAGTCAAAGCCCGTGGTCACGGCACCCTGATGTTTAGCAACTTTTTGGCTTTTTGAAAACAAGGAAGAAAGGTGGAAGTACAGGGAGAACGATTCGTTAAAGTCTCAAAAAATCAAAGCAAAAAACCAGGAGGAAGGAGATGGATGGACAAACAGTTCAGTTCACGTGAAGGAACATATGAGGTTGCCAGAGGTCCATGTGCTTACCTATGCTGGTGGCGGGGTTTGGGCTCGGGTTTTTATATGTTTTGTTACTGTCCAGGGTCACTGGTGAAGTAGCACCTAGCTGTGGAAACTCGGAATACACAGGTAGCCGGCACTGCAGCCAACCTTTTGAACCTTAGAAGAATCACGTTCGCGCCTACTTCCTCCTTCCCAGGGTCTCCGCGCGCGTTTGGGAACTCAACCGCCGCCCAAACACAAGATGATCTGAGCAGCTTCACTGTCGGATTGAGGCCACAGCCAGGCTTTAAGATGGCGACAAAACCCTTTGGTATTCTGTGGAATCTGCCCAAAAGAAAAATGGCCTCTGTCTAGAATCTCGCGGCTTTCAAAGAGGACCCAAAACAAAAATGGCGGCAGACGCAGGCTGGGAACCCAATGACTAAGATTGGCAGGTAACGAATCACGGTAACCCACAGTGCTAGGCTGTCGAACTGACCGAGAGAAAAAAACGCTTTTCTGTGGTATGTTTTCTTAACATCGGAAATTTACTAGCTTAAGAATGGAACGTATACTGTATTCGGTGCGGAAGATTATGGGAAACGTAGCTTTCAACGTGCCAGATAAACTTCAATGGAAATTTAAACATAACTTACGCTATGTTTTTTTAATGTTAAAAGAGAATAAAAGGTTTGTCCTGGAACCCAAAAGCAGGATGGGGAATAACGGATGAATTATCTAATCTGTGAAAAGCACCCTGCTGAAGAAGGTCTGCACTTCCCCGTAAGCCCTCATATGCTTTAGTAGAAGGCAACTAGCTCTCACTGCGCATGTCCGCTCCCCAAACCCGATCCCGGGAGTGACTGGAGGGTAACTCCGTTTCTCCTGATTTTCGAGATAACCGCACAGAGAGGAGGGATACTGGGCTGAACGACAAATCCGGGCGCTTTGTGATTGGTCATGTCTGGGAGGCCAGAGAGCAGAGCGCAGTGGACTTCGTTCATTAGTTTAACAAATCATTAACAGCTCACCAAAAGGCAGAAGCTGTGCCATTTTTATATGTTATTTAAAATTTATGCGTTCTTTTAAAATTTCAGTTTCAATAATTTGCTGGACTATACGCTGAATAAACTTCGCTCCCCGTTTTTTCCGGTGACGGCCACCGGTACAATTGGCTGGAGCTTCCTGGAAAATCCGGAGCAGCGAGCGGGGAGCGGCCCGGCCTCGACCGCAGAGCTGCGCGTGCTCTGTTCCGCAGAGCTGCGCGTGCTCTGTTCCCCAGCGCAACGCGAAGGCTGTCGGGATCCGCGGCAGCTGCGGCTTGAGGTCGGTCCCTAGTCCCTGCGGGCGGCGGCGGCCTGGGGCGGCGTGGCGTTTGGTGGGCAGGTGAGAGCGCTGGAACTTCAGGTGGAAAAGACCGCTTTGTGTCCGGCCGATGAGAGGGGAAGGGGCTTGTAGGTGCCTCTCTCCACCCCCAAAGGTCGCCCTTGTCCTCACTGAAGGATATTTGGGGGCGGGGACAAGGAGGAATCTGGCTTTTGGTAGGAGGTGAAAAAAAGAATAGCTGCAGATGCTAAATGCTTGCGGGCGGCGAGGAGGTCTTCCCGCCGGTGGGAAAAGCTGGAGGAGTGGCGCCTCCCCGCGCTCCCACCTGCGCTGCGCCGGACCTGTGACTCCCTCGTCACCTTCCTCGCTGGGAGGGGCCCCGTGTAACTCTCTCATGTCTGGAGGGTGCATGGTGTACCCCAGGCTGTCAGGAGGTGGGGGCCACCTTCCGACGGCGTCAAAACCCTTGTACAGCATGGTCCTGCCAGCTGCTTGAAAGCGGCCGTGGACCTTGCAGGGATGACCTTGAGGTCATGCTCATCTTCCTCCCAGATGAGACTGTACCCAAATCCTTTTGCCGTTTTGGAGACTCTCAATATGACGGTTTCATTCATTTGTTAACATAGTCAGTTTACCTATGAACAGATAATACACGTGTCTCAGCACTGCCGAGTTAGTAGATACAGCAGTGATCAAGATGGACATGCACAACCCTGACCCTGACTCCATGTTCTAGTGATGGGGGAGAAACAATACTCTCCCTATCCATGAGTTCCGCACCTGTGGATTCAACGAAGTGCGGAAAGAAAATATTCTGGGGCAGCAGGGCTCTGTGGTTCACACCTGTAATCCCAAAACTTTGGGAGGCTGAGGTGGGCGGATCACTTGAGTCAGGAGTTTGAGGTCTGCCGGGCCAACATGGCGAAACTCCATCTTACTAAAAGTACAAAAAAAAAATGAGCCTGGCTCAGCGATGCGCTACTGTAGTCCCAGCTACTTGGGAGTCTGAGACAGGAAAATAGCTTGAGGCCTGGCGGCGGAGGTTGCAGTGAGCCAAGATCATGCCAGGAAAGAAAAAATATTCTGGGGGGAGAAAAAGATGGTTGCATCTGTACTGAACATGTGCAGATCTTTTTTCTTCTCATTCCCTAAATACTGCAGTATAACAACTACTTACGTAGTGTTTAACGTTATATAAGATATTATAAGCAGTCAGGAGATGATTTAAGGTACATGGGAGGATGTGGTAAGTTTTGTGCAAATACTACACGATTTTTTTTTTTTTTTTTTTTGAGATGAAGAGACTCGCTCTGTCGCCCAGGCTGGGGTGCAGTGGCGCCATCTCTGCCCACTGCAAACTTCGCCTCCCTGGTTCAAGCAATTCTTCCTGCCTTAGCCTCCCAAGTAGTTTGGAATTACAGGTGCCCGCCACCAAACCCGGCTCTAATTTTTGTATTTTTTAGTAGAGATGGCTTTTTTGCCATTTTGGCCAGACTGGTCTTGAACTCCTGACCTCAGGTGATCCACCCGCCTCGGCCTCCCAAAGTGCTGGGATTACAGGTGTGAGCCATGGCGTCCAGCCTGCTACATGATTTTTTAATCAGGAACGTGAGCATCTGGATTTAGGTCTCCATGATGGTTCCTGGATGGAATCCCCCAGGGATACTGAGGGGTGATTATACATTGATAATAAACAAGATGTTTCTAGATTGTCTTGGGTTGGGTTTCCTGAGAATCAGACTCTGAGGAGATTTGGAGGCAGGACTTTAATAAGACCTTTTGGACAATTACCAAGGAAGAAAGGAAGCAGAATTGGGCAGACAGAAAAAGTTAAGCCTTATCCAAGTCCCAAGGATGTTCTCCACCAATCGCACAGGAACTCTAGCACTGGGTTGGCCCTTCAGAGTTGAAGGGAAGGGCCAGGCCTTTATAGCCCTGCATTGATCTGTCATTGGATGCTGTTGCCTTGGAAAGGGCCTAACTTCAATTCTCTTCAGCCAAATCAATCATGGATGGAGGCTGGCAGCTGAGGTCTGTCTCAGCACTTCCAGGCACTGGGGAAATAAGCCTTTCATTCCTTAGGGTGGTCAGGGTGGCACATCACAGCATTTACCGCAAAGGTAAGGCATTGAAGGAAACACATGAGAGAGAATAATGGGGAGGGAGAGAGGAAAAAAACTTTAGATTGAATACTCAGAGAAAGGCTCTCTGAGGAGGTGACATCTGAGCTAAGAGCTGAAGCACAAGAATAAGCCACCCTGTGTGGAACAAAGGGAACAAGATTCTCTACTTTTCTGCTGTGCACTAAGAATACAGCAAAAAAGACAAGTGGCTGCTACCTTCTGTTATAGTGGGTGGCAGTGACTAGCTTTTCTAGATCTTGACTCCCTGCTGTAACTAAAGATGTAGTAAGTAAAAATGGATTGAGTCTAATTCAGAGGAGGATAGAGGAAAAAATCAGAACTATGATTTTGAAAAATGAGTAAACTTGGGGAAAACTTAATCTATACAGTTTTTTGTGGGGGTTTTCTTTTGTTTGGTTTGGTTTTTTGATCCTGTACAGCATTGAATTATGTTTTAATAAGATTGTCCTGTGATCTTCTCAAACCTGTATTCTCCTTCAGTATAAGAATCATGCCTTACTCTTCTTGGTAGGTCCCCCTGAGCCTAATAGTCTTGCTAGCACCTAATAGACACTACATGAGCATTTGGGTAGAATTAGTCTCATACATATTTGAAGTAAAAATTGCTAATCCCTAAATGATGTAAACATGGGATACATAACTGTGTTTGGATTTGTCTTTACAATATTTGCTCTTTTCATAAGTTAGAACTCAGTTTTAGTCAAAATATTCGATGGTAATATATATAACTACTTTGATCAAGCAGGAACCTCCAGAGGTGCCTATTTTTATATATGCTTTGTAAGATAATATATTCCCAATAAAAGTAATACCTGCCAAGTATTGAGCACTTCCCACATGCTAGGCACTGTACTACGCTATGAATATATATAGTTATCTTCTTAATATGGCCCCCTATTTCAGATCATGATATTGAGCTCTTAAGGCAGGAGAGAAGTAATTTGTCCAAGACCATAACTAATTTGTGCTGGAGGTTAGAATATGATTCTCTTTTTTTTTTTTTTGAGACAGAGTTTTGCTGTTGTTGCCCAGTCTGGAGTGCGATGGCGTATCTCGGCTCACCGCAACCTCCGTGTCCCGGGTTCAAGGGATTCTCCTGCCTCAGCCTCCTGAGTAGCTGGGATTACAGGCATGTGCCACCATGCCATGCTAATTTTGTATTTTTAATAGAGACGGGGTTTCCCCATGTTGGCCAGGCTGGTCTCAAAACTCCTGACCTCAGGTGATCCACCCACCTCAGCCTCCCAAAGTGCTGGGATTACAGGTGTGAGCCACGCGCCCGGCCTAGAATTTGATTCTCACCATAACTCAGTGCGTTTGCTCTTAGGCGACCGACAGCATTTCCGAAAATGTAGACCATGTTTCAGTCATAGTAGGTTTCTCACATTTAATCACTTGGCTGCTCTATTAACTGTTATTAGAGAAACAAACATGAAATTATTCCCGTCTTTGTTGCTTTGCTCTGTGTCTTTTAGTTTTCTGACTTCCTTCACCACTTTCCTGGCTCTCACTTTAGAGGCTTGACTGTTATCTGTACTGTAATATCCTAGAATCTGATTACCAGATTCTATCTACACTAGTCAAAGCCCAGACACCTGAGAACCTCTCTCTGGAGACTGGGTATTTTTATTCATAGCTAACTAACGGAAACTGCCTGGAGAAGCAAGCCCTCCTTTATGGGGACCACTTCCCTTAGTTGGGGCATTAATTCTAGTCCTCTCCTGTTCTTGCTATACTACAGGTTAATTCCAGTAATGCTTTTTTTCTTTTTGACATAATCAAAATAATAATAGCTAACAATTACTGAGCCCAGACTAAGCACCAAGTATTGTGATAACTGCACAGGAAGCTCGTCATGTGGACGTTATTATTCACATTGTACACATGATGGAACTGAAGCATAGTGAGGTTAAGTGACTCATCCAAGGCTACACAGCCAGTTGTAAAGTGGTAAGTGAAGATTCAAAGCCAGGTAGTATGATTCTACAGCTCATCCCTTAATCACTACATGACTGCATTCTTACAAAAATGATTTAAAGTGCTTGACTTTCTGAAAACTGGTAGGCAGCATCTAGATCCTAGTGGACTTTTTTTCTGCTGTACCAAGATATTTAGATTTCACTCGAGTCAAAAATGTCACTAAAGACTTCTAAGCAAAGCAGGAATACAATCAGATTTGGGTTTTTTTGCAAGATGGCTTTATCAGAATTGTAGAGAATGGATTAGTGGAGGTAGATTGGAACAGTGGGTCTCAAACTTTAGCTTCAGAATTACCTGAAGAATTATTTAAAACACAGATTACTGGACCCCACCCTAGAGTTTCTGATTCAGTAGGTCAGGGGCAGCTTGATAATTTGCCTTTCTAATAAATTCCCAGGAGATGCTAATGGTACTGTTGAGGGGACCACACTTTGAGAACCACTGGACTCAAAGCAAGGAGATCATGTGAGAGGGTACAAGGGTCTGGACTGTGACCCTGGGGAGGAGAGGTTATGTAAAGAAGCACTCTCGTCAAATGGCAGGTTGTGGGGACTGAGTTGACGAGGAGCATAAGAAAAAGGGCAGAGTCCACTATATATCCAGATTTCTGAATTGAATGGCTTAGTAGATAATGCTTTTTGTTAACGAAAACAGGAAATCCCGGTGGAGCAGCAGTTTAGGAGGGAGAGGACTTGATTTTATATGAGACGAATTGAGACTATTTGTGGGGACGGTTAGCTCAAAGATGAACAGTAGCAGTTTATTATGTGGGTCTAAGCTGGAGATGAACATGTGAGAGCCAGAGTGGATGCATGATCATAGAAGTTTGGGGATTGAATGAGACTAGCCAGGAAACAAACACTACCAAAGACAGATCTCTGATAAGGATGAATCTCGATGGAACCCAGCAGGCCATTCAAGGAGACTAGGAAGGAACAGTACTTAGTTCCTGAGTGCTTAGGAGTTTCAAGAACACATCAAAAGGCTACAGAGAGATTATGTAAGGGGAAGGATTGGTGATCTTTATGGTCAGAACACTTTTCATGGAGAACAGACCAAAAGCAGATTGCTTGAGTTTGAGAAATGGAATGGGAAGTGACTCTAGGAAAAAATGCATTCATTATTTGAAAGGAAAGAGATTGTGTAGTACTGGGAAGGAAGACTGGTAAAGGACAGTTGCCTTAGGAAATTTGTTTTTGACTCTTTTCAGTGGAGAAAAATGGTCATGGTTATGCAAAGGAGAAAGGTCCTTAAGAGTAGAAGGTTGGAGGTAGATGAGAGGGGATAATGAAGTTAGAACCCCAAAGACACCGTAGAAAGTGGGACTGGAACATAGGTAATAGGAGTACCAGTTCTTCCGAGACAGCAGGGAAGGAGGCCTATTTATTTATTGAGACGGAGCCTCACTCTGTTGCACAGGCTGAAGTGCAGTAGCATGATCTCAGCTCATTGTAACCTCTGCCTCCTGGGTTCAGGCGATTCTCCTGTCTCAGCCTTCCAAATAACTAGGATTACAGGTGCATGCCACACGACCAGCTAATTTTTTAGTATTTTTAGTAGAAATGGGGTTTCACCATTTTGGCCAGGCTGATCTCAAAATCCTGACATCAAGTGATCCACCTAGATCCACCAGCATTCCTAGAGTGCTGGAATTACAGGCATGAGCCACCATGCCCTCCTGGAAGGAGATTTAGTTGAGAGTTAAGATGCATAGGATTTTACATATGGGAACAGCAAGTTAGAGGTGTTCATACCCAAATAGCCATAATGTCCTCTGGCCAATAGATTATCTGCAGAAATGAAGGTGGAGCATACAGTTAAAATCTTGAAAATGAAGGTTAGAAAACATGGGCTCTTTAGGGATTCAGAACAAACCAGGAATAAGTAAAGTTTTTGCTATAGCACTAAGGGCCCAGTCATCTAGGTATTTGAACTGGAACAATCTGGCTATCTGCATGATACCTACTTCCCCTCCTCCACCAGTCAGTCATCAGCATCAAATGGCAGCCAGGGTGTAAAAACAGTGAAAGGGTATGAAAGGATTCTCAGCTCTATAAACCACTATAACCATTTGATAAACCACAACTTGCTGGTAAGCTAGTTTTCACTTTTCAATTGTTAATCACTTGCTTAATATTTGAGACTGTCCACAATTAGTGAAACCCCCATTTAAGACTTAGAATGCTTTCGGTATATTTTTATTTACAAATACATTAAATTCACAGCAGTGGGCAGGGGGGAATAGCAAAAAACGTAAGGTAATTACACATACCTGTTCAGCCTTCTGTCTACAGATCCACTCCTCACTTGGCTGTGCTGTTAGCGGCCCAGCTCTTGGATATAGGTCAAGATAACTTTGAATGGCATGGTGGGGAAGGTGGTAGGATTTGCAGAAGGAAAACTTTAGAACTCAGTTACTATCCGTTGGTTCTTCAAGAGTTGACAGTATTGCTTTTGGGCTGTGTGTTTTTACGAGACCAGAGAAGTCCAGCAAAATGAGTGTTATTTTAGGTGATAGAGTTGGAAAAGAAAAAGGAAAACTATTGTTCTATTTACCATGTCAGTTCATTGCCTAGGGACAGTTGAAGACAACGTGCAGTCCTTTCACAAAAAATGCCACAATTCAAACTGCTGTGTTAAAAATTGAGGAGAACAATAACTTTTTAATGTTGATGATTAGAATTCAGGAATGAAGAATACACAAATACCTAAAACCAATATTGTCATTGTAAAAGGCATAATACAATTCCCGTAAACTTCATAAAGTTTCATAATCACAGGAGCTGAGTTAATTGGTTTTTAATATTCTATCTAATGTTCTCCTCATAATTAAGTTACATTCAGTGGAAGTTTTTTTTTTTAATTACTATTTTTTCGTATACTTAAAGCAGAACAGCAGTTAAGACCAGAGTCCATTTTACACTGTGTCCAAAAGACCAGCAGATGGCGCCCAGCAAGCCCGCTAGGCAAAATGAGTGAGGACTTTCCATGTAGCATTCCCTGCATCCAGGTTGTTTTAGGCCTAATTTTGAAGAGAACATAACAAAACTTGATGGCTTTAACCAATACCGTGCTAGATAGAATAATCAGATAGCTATATCCAGCTGTTTGGGAAGTTCTAAGACGCTTACTTGCCTTTTTGCCCTTTACTATCTTGTACGTGTGTGTGTGTGTGTGTGTGTGTGTGTGTCAGTTTTTTCTTGGCCTTTAGAGCTACTCAAAAAGATTACAGTATTTGTAATGAGGTAGACGTATAGCAAGCTTCTCCCTCTTCTGTTCATTAATCTCTTGCTATCATTCTATACTTGGAACTAAATTAAAGAAAACTGAACTAGCCCAGCTAATCTCAACCATAAGTAGGTCGCAGATGTGGTTTTGGAGGATATAGACTTTTTTGCCCTCTGATTTTTTCTTTTTCTTACTTCCAGAACTGTAAAATGCCCTCCAGTTTTCGACAAGTGAAACAACAACTGTTAACCTTTTATACACCTGACATGAAAATCAGAAGGACATACCAGGGGCCACGCATGGCTTATGCTTGTAATCCCAGCACTTTCGGAGGCTGAGGCAGGCAGATTATTTGAGGCCAGGAGTTTGAGACCAGCCTGGGCAACATGGTGAAACCCCGTCTCTACTAAAAATACAAAAATTAGGCATGGTGGTGTGCACTTATAACCAGCTACTTGGGAGGCTGAGGCACGAGAATCATTTAAATCTGGCACGCGAAGGTTGCAGTGAGCTGGGATGGCACCACTATACTCCAGCTTAGACAACAGACTCTGCCTCAAAAAAAGAAAAAAAAATGAAGAAGAACATGCCAGGCATAATACCCCACGCTAGTTGATCTCAGTGATCCTCAAGAGTGTGTATCACGCCCTCTAAATGTTCCCCTCATCTGTGATCACACACTGGAAATTCTGATTGACAGTACTGCCCAAGCTGGGGCACTAATTCTTCACTTGAGAAATTGCTTAGTAGAATACCAGCCAAGACTTTTAAGACTTCACAATCTAGCCAGGCACAGTGGCTCACGCCTATAATCCCAGCACATTGGCAGGCCAAGGCAGGCAGATCACGAAGTCAGGAGTTAGAGACCAGCCTGACCAGCATTAGCTGGGTGTGGTGGCGGGCGCCTATAATCCCAGCTGCTCGGGAGGCTGAGGCAAGAGAATTGCTTGAACCTGGAGGCAGAAGTTGCAGTGAGCCGAGATTGTGCCATTGCACTCCAGCCCAGGTGACAGTGCAATACTCTTGTCTCAAAAAAAAAAAAAAGACTTCACAATTTAAATTGACTGCCACAATTAACTAACGGTAATCTTAGAATAAATCATTTAGTATTTCTTCATTTATAAAATGATCTCATAAAGTTGCTATGAAAGCAAAACAAAACGAAAAATATGAAACTTCTGAATAATTTAAGGTAGTATTTTTGAGAGAATATGCAAAAGCATAATCCATGTTAAGATTGCCTCTAAACTTTTTCTAAACTCAGCAAAAGACATTTCAGTGAATGAAACTACAAATATCAACTGTCTGTTTACTTGATCTAAAATTTACTAATCTAATTTCATGTCTCTTGATTTCTCTGTCCTTCTAAAGGACTCTCCCTAGAATATGTTTAAAGAAGATTAAGGAAAGAAAGATAAGAAAGAGCAGTGGCAAGCACATTCAAGGGTAAGGAAGTGAAAAAAACCTTTGTCATATTTCTTGTTGCTTTGCTCCAAACTTGAAAAGTTCAATGAACGAACATCAAACACTAACTTATTTTAGGGATTAACCAGTTACTCCTCATCACATCTGATCATTTTGAGCTTGTTTCTTGAGAAATCTTTGTTTTAGACTCAGAATCTCTGGTGTCCACAAGATACTTCCATGCCACTTGGAATGACTTGCCAAGTGTTTTGAGGGAAGAACCATCTCAAGGCAAACAGTAAATAGCTTAAGTTTGTTTCACAAATTGGATCTCCCAGTCTCCCTGCTTCTCAGTAGCACGAACCTTTGTAAAAGTCAAGGTTTTAAAAACTTTTTGTCAAATTCATTTAAAAAATGAGTTAATTTTTAAGAAATTTGTTAACTCTGAAAAGTAGGAGAGGCTTTGAGCATGAACTCTAGAGTATTTACACAAATATTTATTGCCATAGCATATTTAGCAATAAAGCATTGAAAAATCTCAAATTTCTGTCAATTACAGATTGGTCAAATTAGGATATCTCCATTATAATGAATGCTGTATAGCTCTTAAAAATGATGATGGAGATTTATATTCTTTGGAAGAGAGAAGATTATAAAACAGCATGTATATCATGATCATATTTTTTGTTACACCCAAAAGATTTAAGCTCTCTTCCTTGTTTCTGTATTTGCTAACTTTATAAAGTAAGGTTATACTATATTTATTAGAAAAGGACAGTAATTCCTTTTTTTTTTTTTTTTTTTTTTTTTGAGACGGAGTTTCACTCTTGTTGCCCAGGCTGGGTCACCATCTCAGCCCTCTGCAACCTCTGTACCTCCGGGGTTCAAGAGATTCTACTGCCTCAACCTCCCAAATAGCTGGGATTATAGGCACCCACCCCACACCAGCCTAATTTTTTATATTTTTGGTAGTGACGGGGTTTCACCATGTTGGCCAGGCTGGTCTCGAATTCCTGACCTCACGTGATCCACCCGCCTCCGCCTCTCAAAGTGCCGGGCTTACAGGCATGAGCCACCGCGCCTAGCCTAATTTTCATTTTGTAAAAAACCATTGAGGAACTAAGAAGAAAAAAAGTGCCAAATTACAGTTGTATCCCCAGAATATGTTTGATTGTAAGTAAAAACTCTGCAAGAGTTTGTAAACAAAATAAATAACACATTACCTCACTAACAACCATACCAAATATGAAATTTGAAAACTGTATTTTTTTATTTTTATTTTTTATTTTTTTTTGGTAAAACTAACAATGAACCTTGCTAGTAAGGTCTAGTAAAGTCTAATGTGTGTTGCCCTGAGAAGAGGTTATGCAGACAATAGAATACATGCAATGTACTGGAAAGCTATTAAGTGAAAGAAATGAAGTAGATTAAAGTTATACACCAATGTCACTTTTTAAAAATATATGTTTTTTTCTTTTAAAGATGAAGTCTCACTGTATTGCCCAGATAGTCTTGAACTCAGGGGCTCAAGCAATCCCCCTGCCTCAGCCTCCCAGAGTGCCAGAGTAACAGGTGTGAGCCACTGTGCCTGGCCTTTTTTTTTCACATATATATAGAGAGAGAGGGAGAGAGAAAGGAACGAGGTCTCACTATATGCCAATGCCATTTTAAAGTGCTAATTCCATCTTGCTCAGTGAAAATGGACTATTGTATGTACAGTGTGATACTTACTGTTTTATGTGAATTAAATTAAAACTCTAAAAATAGTTTGTAAAGTAAAAACCCCTTTCATGCTGATCCTAATTATTTCCCAGTGCTTTCAAAGGACAACAGAATTATCTGTCAGAAAATAGTTACTTGACTCTCTCACCCCCATTAGCCAAATCAATATATTAGATATGGAGAATTTGAGGAAATGGGGACATGTAGATGTTCAGTAAACATTAAAGCAATTAATCATTAAATCAGTCTACATCATTTATTGACCAGGAAATACTGAACCAAGTCTCAGTGATGTTTAGCAAACAAAGAGCTTTCAGTTAAAATAGATACTAATTTCCAGGTTTAACTAAACCTAAATCTAGAAAAAGATTCATCGATCCTTAAGTTATCCTAGTGGAAAGAATAATAGACTGGTAAGCACAATATGCATAAAATTGAGCATTTCTTTTGTCTTTAACTGGGAGATGACCCAAAGATTTCACTAATTATTATAGGGAGCTAAGCCGATCCTTTTCTGAAATGCTATTTTCACTCTTCTCAAGAAAGGTTCATCCGTGTCTTTGCTTGCTTTAATCACTGTGCTGAGAGAAGAGTACAACACTTCGCAAACATTGGTATTACAGATCGTCATTTAATTTGTTCCTAATTTTAGTTCTTCTTGAGTTACAAATCTCAGTTTTATTATTACACCCTTTTGTCCTATCCAGTCTCTTTTTTGCTTTTTGTTTTTTTGAAACAGGGTCTCACTTCATCACCCATGCTGGAGTGCAGTGGCGTGATCTCGGCTCACTGCAGCCTCAACCTCCCAAGGTTCAAGCAATCCTCCTACCTCAGTCCCCCCATGTAGCTGGAACTACGGGCAGGTGCCACCATGCCTGGCTAATTTTTGTATTTTTTTGTAGAAATGGGTTTTGCCATGCTGCATAGGCTTAAGCCATCTGCCCACCTCAGGTTCCCAAAGGGCTAGGATTACAGGTGTAAGCCACTGTGCCTGGCCCTAGCCTCTTTTTTTCTAAGCTGGGTTTTTTTTTTGTTTTTGATTTTTTTTTTCCTTCCTTCAGTTTATGGTTCAGGAAAAAGCTGACAAATGTTGAGTTATATTATTGCTCATGGAGAAGTAAATGGTGAATGGCAGAGATGGCTGTTAAAAGTAATGTGACTTGTTAACCTCATGTTAAGAGTAACAGAGGTGACAAAGTTACCTTAAGTATTGAGGAGACTGGATATGAATAACAATACCTTCTAGACCTTTTGTTTAAGGTGTTTTGTAAACAAAAATGCCATGTGTCAATCAACACAGGCCAGTTGACTTTGGTGCAGCCTTTGTCCTTCCTATAAAAAGTAGCCCTTACTAGAATTCTTCCCTTGTTAATCTAAATCACCTAGTTCCTTTTCCAGTTATTTTATTGTACTCTCAAATCTCCACAGGCTTTTGCCTTTGGACGTCACACAGAAATTTAATTATGATACAGTTATTTGTAATTGATTTCCTCTAAAAATAGAACATAAGCATGTCAATAAAAGGTATATTCTCTAAAGGTTACAAAAAGTATATGGTATACCAGAGTGCTTCAGAAAAGGAAAAGACCATAAAATATATAAATATATTTTTTGAGATGGAGTTTCACTCTGTCCCAGGCTGGAGTGCAGCTCACAAGCAGGTCTCTGCCTCAGCTTCCCGAGTAGCTGGGATTATAGGCGCCCGCCACCGCACCTGGCTAATTTTTGTATTTTTAGTAGAGATGGGGTGTCATCGTGTTGGCCAGGCTGGTCTTGAACTCCTGACCTCGTGCTCCGCCCGCCTGGGCCTCCCAAAGTGCAGGGATTACAGGCGTGAATCACTGTGCCCGACCTAAAATACTTTCATTTACAGAGTAGGTCATGTTTTTTCCATCTAGTAATTTAAATTTTGCAACAAAATCTTTACAAAATGTGAATTTAGACCTTGGGGAAAAATGATTTATAATGCTAAGAATAACATGTTCATAGCTATAAGACAACATCTTTTGTTATTTTTAATGTATATACAAAACACAAAAATGGTTCAGACTAACATTACTATTGTGTTTTAGTTTTAAAATGGGGAATAAGTAGAAATTCGGTTCAAATCTTTTTCTAATGGCACTTAGACAAAAATAAAGTAATTTAGGAGATTTCATGGTACCAAAACTCAAAGATGCAATTGAGCCAAGTTCATAGCATATCTCATAGATGGTGGGCAGTCCTTATTAAGAGTATAAGGAGTCTCTAGAGGTTGTCCAGACTCAAGTTCCCAAACCCAACAGATCATCAGACACAGCCTTTCTGGGCCCTATTTCCATCCTTTCCAAATTTTTTTTTTTAAATCTATTTTAAAAGCTAACCAGCTTTGTAACTCCAGGCAACTTTCTAGCCCCAGTTTCTTCATCTAAACTAGGTTGATAACAATCCTCTTGGGTAGGGTTTCTAGTGATTCAGGGCAAACACTTTAAAATCCAGTAGTTTTGCACATAAATGTAGAAATGACATTAAATTCATTCTAATTCATGGTGTCCAAGCCAGAAGTCTTTTGCTGCAATTGGAATCCATGCTCAGCTGTTCTAATCTCAGTTGAAACACTATCACTATATCCTGTGAGAATATAGAACCTAAATTCCTACTGCATATTTGTGGATTACCATTTGGTTCTTCTGTTAAAATTGTGACTAAATGTAATTATTTATTTTTTTTGAGATGGCATTTTACCTGTTGCCCAGTGCAGTGGCATGATCTTGGCTCACTGCAACCTCCACCTCCCAGGTTCAAGCATTTCTCCTGACTCAGCCTCCTGAGTAGCTGGGATTATAGGCATGTGCCACGACATCTGACTAATTTTGGGGTTTGGTTTTGTTTTGAGACAGAGTCTTACTCTGTCACCCAGGCTAGACTGCAGTGGTACAATCTTGGCTCACTGCAACCTTGGCCTCCCGGGTTCAAACTATTCTCCTGCCTTAGTCTCCTGAGTAGCTGGGATTATAGGTGCGCACCTCCACACTTGGCTAATTTTTGTATTTTTAGTAGAAACGGGGTTTTATCATGTTGGTCAGGCTGGTCTTGAACTCCTGACCTCATGATCTGCCCACTTTGACCTCCCAAAGTGCTGGGATTACAGGTGTGAGCCACTGCGCCCAACCTAATATTTGTATTTTTAATAGAAACGGAGTTTTACCACGTTGGCCAGGCTGGTCTCAAACTCATGACCTGAGGTGTTCCGCCTGCCTTGGCCTCCCAAAGTGCTGGGATTACAGGCGTGAGCCACCACTCCCAGCCTGTAATTATAATTTTTAAAAATATATAACTTTAAGGACTTTGGGAGGCCAAGGCAGGCAGATCATGAGGTCAATACATTGAGACCATCCTGGCCAACATGGTGAAACCCCATCTCGACTAAAAGTACAAAAAAATTAGCTGGGCGTGGTGGCACCTGCCTGTAGTACCAGCTACTCGGAAGGCCGAGGCAGGAGAATCGCTTGAACCTGGGAGGCAGAGGTTGCAGTGAGCCAAGATTGCGCCACTACACTCCAGCCTGGTGACAAAGCGAGACTCCATCTCTCAAATATATATATATATATAATTTTTAAAACATATATAACTTTTTAAATAAACTGTTAAAATACATATAGAATTTATAAAATGTATATATAACTTTAAAAAAGGCTCTTACTCTATTGTGGCTCAGAGAACATTAATGTATCTAAAGAACACTCCTTGCATGTGTGTTTTCAAAGGTTCATGCAGCTTTTTCAGCAGGTAATGTTGCTCCTTTACAATTGTTGCCAAAAAGTCAGTATTGCCCTGTAAGTTTCCCAAGGCTGACTGCCTGCGCCCTTTGGGTCAATGACATGTCTCTTTTTGTTTATTAACATTGCAGTGTATTATAACTAAAACTGTTTCACATTCAGCATTTTTTGGAGTAAAGCATGCTACTTGGAGTGATTTAGAAATGCAGTTAAAGAGAGGTTATGGTTTTTAGTGTTTTTTTTTTTTTCTTCCTCCTTTAACTGTAACCTTTTCTTAGGTACACTGATCCTGAAGTACTATGATCTTTCAGAAACTCTGGAGAAACTACAGAGTTCTGGTTGTTATGATCCCTGTAATTGGGCTCATACATTTGGGATGGTACAAAATCAAAAGCAGCCCTATTTTCCAAATACCTCATAAGGATGACATTCCTGAGCAAGATAGTCTGAAACTTGCAAATCTGCAGAAGAGCCAAATCCAAGGGAAATAGCAGGCTTGCGGTCTTCAGGTAAGTTTCATTTAATGTGGTTGGTTAATCATATGGTACATTCCAACAATGGGAAACTTGATCTTTTAGATCTTCGGCAAAAAAAGCCTAAATTGGCTGGGCACAGTAGCTCATGCCTGTAATCCAAGCACTTTGGGAGCCCAAAGTGGGAGGATCACGAGGTCAGGAGTTCAAGACCAGCCTGGCCAACATGGTGAAACCCCGTCTCTACTAAAAATACAAAAGTTAGCTGGGCATGGTGGCATGTGCCTGTAATGCCAGCTACTCTGTAGGCTGAGGCAGGAGGATTGCTTGAACCAGGACACAGAGGTGGAGGTTGCAGTGAGCCAAGATTGCGCCAGTGCTCTCCAGCCTGTGCTACGGAATGAGACACTGTCTCAAAAATAAATAAATGAAGAAAAGAAAGAAAGAGAGAGGGAGCCTAAGTTGGCAAGTTACCTTATGACCCACTGGCAAAATACTATTCTGCAGTTGTTTCTAGAAAAGTTTGCTGTGCAGAGACGTTTGACACTTGTCTGGCAGTCATCTGAATGCAAAGGGCAAGGGCAGTTTTGCTAGCAGCAGCCCCAGGATCATGAATGTGTGCAAAGGAGCCCCTGACTCCTTACCATTATATACCACAAAAGTCTGAACTTGTACAAGATTCTTTTCTTCTATTAGTGTTCTTTTTTTTTTTTACAATACAAAACTAATTGTATTCATTCCTTAATATCAACTATTTTAGCTTGAACATAATTTGTTACTTTTGAGGGTCACTGAAATAAAGAGGATGTAGTTAATAATTCAGATCTATAGTCCCTTATCCGTAATTCCAAAATTCAAAAAGTTCTAAAAACCAAAACATTTTATCCTAACTCCTTTGGCGGCAAAACGATCTTAACTGACATGAGACAATTTCCAGTGCAGTTATCTCCCTTTATTCTCGGTTTCAGTTACCTGCAGTCAACCCTAGTCTGAAAATATGAAATAGAAAATTCCAGAAATAAACAATTCATAAATTTTAAATTGTGCACCGTTCTGAGTAGCATGATGAAATCCTGGGCTATTCTACTTCATCCACCCAGAATGTGAGTCATTCCCTACCTGCTCATTAGTCACTTAGTAGCCCTCTGGGTTAGATCAACTGTCATGGTGTCACTGCCCTTATGTTCAGGTAGCTCTTATTGTACTTCACAATGTACCCAAACCACAAGAATATTGTGCCTAATTTATAAATTGAACTTTATCATAGGTTTGTATGTATAAGAAGAAAACCTAGTATATATAGGGTTTAGTGCTACATCCAGTTTCAAGCATCCACTGGGTGGTTTTAGAACATATCCCTGATAGATAAATGGGAGGGTTGCTGTTTTTATTCCACTTAATATGAAAATTTAGTTTCACTGGAGAAATTTTGTTGGCATCTGTTGCATTTTATTTACTATAATATGGTGCTATACTATATTCTGATTATATTGATTATAGATGTTATTAAACATATTTATAAAATCTAAGAAATTATGAATTATGAAACTCATATGGCCCAAGGAGTTTCAGATAAAGAACTGTGATCCCATGATTATAAAGCATTTTCTATTGTAATTTACTTTTTAACCTTGAGTAATACGCTCTAAGTTTTGGCATAACGTAGATGAGTGTAAAGTTCTGCCCTTTATAGAAGAAGAGCCTCGGTAAGACTTTCCTTACTTATAAGCCTTGGTCTGAGGTTTTGACTTACGACATAATTACTTGTTTCAACAATATTTTAAATCAAGGTGTTAGTTTTAAATGTTCATAAGCAGAAATGGAAGAGCATGGTTTATATATTAGACAATTATTTAATACAAAAAGCCAGATAGTAACATAGAAGCTTAACAACTTAGAAACCCTACAATCTGTATAAAATTTATATTTATAGGAAGAGTTTTAATATATATGCATAGGGAGTTTAGAGAATTCATTAGATGCTGGATTTTTATATACATAATCTTCCAGACTGTAATAAGACCATTATAGTATGAATGTATGTTGTACTTATGACATCTTTTTGTTCTTGTCATAAGTTTGGAGGCCAGGTATGGCCAAACTTTGGAGGAAAAAATTAAATAGTTTCTTATCGTCCAAAAAGAATTACTCTTGGAGGAAAAATGAGCTGAGAAAAGAAAAAATCTCCTCTAAAATATTAGGTGAATATAGTAAGAGGTTTTAGAGGCCAATGCAGCAATAGTTACACATTTTAGAGACTAACACTTCCAGTCAAGCAAGCAGAAACAGATATTTAAACAGGCTTTTAATAAGCAAACGTTAGAGCCAGATTTAGAATAAGTTAAACACCAATTCCAAATAGTTGAAGTACATCAAAATAAATGCATTGTATTTGCCCCTTATTTTCTATTTTTATTTTCATTATGGAAAATTACATACATGCCTCAAAATAGAGAGAATAGTATATTGGGCCCTCAAGTATCCATCAACCAGCTTTAATAGTTGATTGGCATTTTGCCAGTTTTCTTTTATCCATCTTTTCCTCTATTTTTTGAACTAATAGAATATATTAAAGCAAATCTTAAGCTCCACTATGTAGTCCTTTAGTTTGTGTCTTTAGCAGTAATAATAAACACACATATACAAACGCATTTGTATTATCACCCAGAAAAACTTAATAGTGATGTTTTTGTTTTTGTTTTTGTTTTTGAGATGGCGTCTCGCTCTGTTGCCCAGGCTGGAATGCAGTGGCGTGATCTCAGCTCACTGCAACTTCTGCCTCCCAGGTTCAAGCAATTCTCCTGCCTCAGCTTCCCGAGTAGCTGAGATTACAGGTGCATACCCCCACGTCCAGCAGATTTTTGTATTTTTAGAAGAGACGGGGTTTCACCATGTTGATCAGCCTTGTCTGGAACTTCTGACCTTGTGATCTGCCTACCTCAGTCTCCCAAAGTGCTGGGATTACAGGTGTGAGCCACCCTGCCCAGCGACAGTGACTCTTTAATTACAATTTGATACCCCAAGACCATGTTCATATCTCTGAATTTGTCTTAAAAAGTCTTTAGAGGTAGTTTGTTGGAATCAGGATCCAAACAAGGTCTACGTACTTTTTGATAGATAATGTCTTTTTTCAATTCCCCTCCTAAATCTGCCTTTTAAAAAAATCCCCACATTCTCAACTTGGTTGATTGCTTCCACATCATTTAACAAGTTCCTCTCTCTCACCCCTATTTCCTGTAATCTGGTAGTTAAGAGGCCTAATTTATTTTTTGAACAAGAATACTTCATGGATGGTGCTGTGGTATAGATCCTAGGTAATCATATTGTTTCACGTATAATGTCTGATCCACTTTTGATGGTTTTGTGGACTTTTTTTTTTTGAGACAGTGTTTTGATCTGTCACCCAGGCTACAGTGCAATTGCCTCATCATAGCGCACTGCAGCCTCAAGCTCCTGGGCACAGGCCATCCTCCAGCCTCAGCATTCTGAGTAGCTGGGACTACAGCCATCCACCACCACACCTGGCTAAGTTCTAAAATTTTTTTAGAACCAGGGTCTTGCTGTATTGCCCAGGCTGGTCTCAAATTTCTGGCCTCAGGCAGTCCTCCGACCTTGGCCTCTCAAAGTGATGGGATTACAGGCAAGAGCCACTACACCTAGCCAGTGTTGCTAAGATTAACAGGCAGGTTATCAGTGTTTCTTTCTATTATAAAGCTCCCCTTTGAGTTTTGTTTTTGTTTTTGTTTTTTAAGATGGAGTCTCACTCTGTCACACAGGCTGCAGTAGGTGGATCTCAGCTCACTGCAACCTCTGCCTCCTGGGTTGAAATGATTCTCCTGCCTCAACCTCCCGAGCAGCTGGGATTATAGCCACCCGCCACCACACGCAGCTAATTTTTTGTATTTTTTTAGTAGAGACAGGGTTTCACTGTGTTGGCCAGGTAATCTTTTATTTAATAAATTATTAGCAACGATTCATTATTATTGCTGTAATGTAGAAATTGCCAAACTTTTTTCTATAAAAGACCAGAGAGTAAATACTTTAGGCTTTGCAGATCATATAGTGTCTATACCAACCCATTAGCTTTCTGTTGTAGTGTAAAAGCAATCAGACACAGTACACAAATTAATGAGCATGGCTGCTTTCCAATAAAACTTCATTTATGAAAACAGGCCACAGGCTGGTTATGGTCCATAGGCTTAATTTACCAACCATTGCATATAGGTCTAATGTACTAGTTCATTAGGGGTTGCCAAATGATGCTGCTCAAATTCTATCATTCCTTCTCCATTTATTAGGTAGAACAACTTTTCATCGTCAGCTCTTCAGTTACCCCAGAATGCATTTATACAAGAAAAGCAAGATAAATATTTTATCTCTGTAATTCCCTTTGTTGGTTTTTTTAAATAATAATGAGTGCTCAAGCAGCTTAGGGTTTTTGTTTTTAGTGTCAGTATGAACCTGTGGGTTTGCATATGTTTTAATTAATCTATTTCAGTTGCCTTTTTTTTTTTAATGCTGAAGTTGTGCCATTTTGGATCCTCTCCAAGTTGATTCCTGTTGTTTTTTCCTTTGTCCTTGTGTTATGATACAGATAGTCTTTAATAACATCTTTACTTTTTGGCAGAAAAGGACGCCAGCTTACTTTGTGTTTCTTACCTCATACCTATAATCAGTCTTTTTGCCAAAGAACTCCATTTGCTTCTAGGAAAAACTTTTACCTGCTTATATTTTGTTTAAATTATATTTTATAGTGCACGTCTTAATTTAGAAGACAGTCATGCAAGTTTTAGTGTTATTTTAATTAAGTTATCCATCACTGCAACAACAACAACAAAAACCCATCTGCCAAGCCTGTACATCCAGGAATAGTCAGGACCATTCATCTGATGGCAACTCCTGGAATCATGCAGCACCTTATTTAGGAAGAAAGAGTTTTAATAGAGCTGTACTGATACTTCCAAATATATTTTATAAACCAGCCCCAATCGTTTGGGTTTTTTTTTCCTCTTTCTTGTACCTTCTTTTGTCCAGGTCTAGACCTGTAACCGCAGGTCAGCAAGTTTTGGCATCTTTAAAATGATTTGGAAGTCACTAACACTTTCATTGATTTTTTTCTCATTTTAATGAAATACTAGCCAAAAGATGTGTTGACTGGTCTCACTACCATAAGATTGACGGAGATGCCAGCATGGTATTCTGTTTCTGAAAAGTTGCATGTCACTATTAAGTATTGAAAAATATTCTAACTAGAAAAATCATTTTCTTAATCATAGTTTTTATTGTGGGTGTGTGTGTGTGTGTAAGTTTTAACTTGCAAATTACGAAACAGAAATCACTTTGTGAGGCTTTATTTAAATGTATTTCTCAGATTTTGCTGAATCTGAAATAACTGTTGAAATATTTAAGTACCTTGGCTGTTCCGGGCATAAACAGATTTTTCTTTCCTTCATCACGCTATGCAGAAGTTGACAATAGCTTTATCACCACAGGAAGAAAGCTGATCATCATTGCCCTTACTTTATTTGGGCCCAGTTGCCATGGGTACAGCCCTTTAACTAAATTGGGAATGGTAACCAAAATAACATTTTGCATAACATTTTCTTGTTCTGCCCACCTCTTTGCACAGCTTCAAATCAGGGTTCTGGTCTGATCACCATACTATGCTCTAGCCTACTTTTAGGAAGTACTTTAGGCTAAGTAGATATGTTTTATTTATGCTAAATGCTCTCCAAGAGGCTACCATACTCAGTATATTCCTGGAAATACTAATAATTATACTTTTAAAACACCAGGGTTCAACAGATAATATCTATTATCTAACACTTTTATACTTTTCACACATTATTATTGTGTCAGGAATTTATGCCTCAAGCCACACTAATTTTTTTAACAAGGACATTATCTTGTTAAGGAAACTGGAAGTGTATTTATTTCTGTGTGCCCATTTGATATATAACATAGTACTTAGACTTTGAAATTGAGCTACAACTCAGATCCTGTTTTGTCGTCGTTGTTGTTGTTATTCAGCATATCTCTTGGTTTTTGTATCTATTGTCATTAACCAGTGCTTTGGGGAGGATTAGTTGACTAGGACTTCCAAAACTGAAAATCACTGACTGATCAAGTAAAATGATAGAAAATTAGCTCTGACTTTAGCCAGGTATTTAAAACATGGTTAGTTTTTTGGTATAATGTGTTGTGCAGATTTATTCAGCTAAATATGGACTATACATTAGTGACTTTCTGCAGTAAGCATGCCAACAGCTATCTTGTTTTTATAATTATTTACAAACAGGATTTGATGTAAATGTGCTTCTGTTCAAACCTAAAGTTTCCAAGCAAACCACAGTTATAGATTAAAACAACATTAAATCTTGATGTTGGAGAATCAAAATATTTGGGACTTCGTTTAAGACTCAAAGACCAAATTCTGTGTTTTATATTGTAGCATTTGTCTTCTAGAAGCATGCCATATTCAAATAACTGTGCTGTAAGCTTTCTAGCGATGTTGTACCTTACAGAATCACTGAAATACAAGCACTTTTTCTTGAAGAGAGGATTTATTGAAGAAAAAAGCATTTTAAGTCAAAGTTGGTTTACCTTTCTCATTTTTCTGGAGACTTGTGCCAGTTAGTAGTTCCTTTTTTCTTTAAAAAAAAAAATAAACGCAGCAGAGCATTAGAATAAATTATGAAACTGCATTCTACAAAATGCTTGGGAAGTATTTCTCTGAAATGTTTTGTTTTTATTTCTTAGATAAAGAAGCAGCTTTGAATCTGAGCTTCATTTCAAAAGAAGAGATGAAAAATACCAGTTGGATTAGAAAGAACTGGATTCTTGTAGCTGGGATGTCTTTCATAGGTGTCCATCTTGGAACCTACTTTTTACAGAGGTCTGCAAAGCAGTCAGTAAAATCTCAGTCTCAAATCAAACAAAAGAGTATTGAAGAGTGAAGTAAAATAAATATTTGGAATTGCTAACTTGTTATTAAATCATTATATGCTGATTTAGCTTCATAAACATTGAACTGTTTGATTTTATAGCCACAGTGCTGCATATTTATACTTTAATTCCTAAAGAATAATTTTTTATGTTAACACATGATAATGAAATAAATAGAAAAATATGGTTTACGTAGTAAAAACGGTCTTCACAAGTTACCACCTGAAGTAAGATGTCTCGTTTAGACACTAAGAAGCCATCATTGTGTAAGAGTGAACCACTGACAAGTGAGAGAGTCAGGACTACACTTTCTGTCTTGAAAAGAATCGTAACATCGTGCTATGGCCCTTCAGGTAGGCTGAAGCAGCTGCACAATGGCTCTGGAGGCTACGTGTGCACAACCTCACAGTCCTCAGCCTTGCTCAGTCACCTTTCGGTCACACATCCCATATTAAAGATCCTGACAACCTCCGTACAGAATCACGTGTCAAGCTTCAGTGATTGTGGCTTATTCACAGCCATTCTTTGCTGCAACCTGATTGAAAATGTTCAGAGATTAGGCTTGACACCCACCACTGTCATTAATTTAAATAAACATCTTTTGAGTCTCTGCATCAGTTATCTCAAGTCTGAGACCTGTGGTTGTCGAATCCCAGTCGACTTCAGTAGTACTGAGATCCTCCTTTGTTTGGTGCGCAGTATATTAACGAGTAAACCTGCCTGTACACTCACCAGAGCGGAAACAGAGCATGTCAGTGCTTTGATTCTGAGAGCCTTTTTGCTTACAATTCCAGAAAACGCTGAAGGCCACATCATTTTAGGAAAGAGTTTAATTGTACCTTTAAAAGGTCAAAGAGTTATAGATTCCACCATATTACCTGGGATACTCATTGAAATGTCCGAAGTTCAATTAATGAGGTTATTACCTATCAAAAAATCAACTGCCCTCAAGGTGGCACTGTTTTGTACAACTTTATCCGGAGACATTTCTGACACTGGAGAAGGAACTGTGGTGCTCAGTTATGGGGTTTCTCTTGAAAATGCAGTCCTGGACCAGCTGCTTAACCTAGGAAGGCAGCTAGTCAGTGACCACGTAGATCTTGTCCTCTGCCAAAAAGTAATACATCCATCTTTGAAGCAGTTTCTCAATATGCATCGTGTTATTGCCATAGACAGAATTGGAGTGACTCTGATGGAACCCCTGACTAAAATGACAGGTAAAAATCACTCTTGGCTTTTGCCTCTTACAGTTAATAAATCACACTTTTGAGCAGAGATGTTTTTGGTTTGTGTCACTGTTAAAATCATGAAAAGTTTTAGAAGCCACCAACCTCACCACGTGTCGGTATCATTTCTGGCAGCAAAGGTTACTGGCAAAGATCCTGTATTGTTCACATACTAAAAATACACTGATTATGGCCATTTTATATGTATTTTTCAGCCCCCAAATGTACTATAGTCTGTCATAGTCTAACCCCCAAATATTTCACAGGTTATTGAGAAGTCTTAACATCTTCATAACCCTAAGGCCTTTCGTACTTCACACAAAATTCTTCAGCTTAATTGACAAAGCTTTTAAATCATGTTGTATTTAGAAAATAATTTTGTAACTAGAATGCTCCTTTTTCTTCACTTTATCATTCCAACAAACTTCTGTACTTCTCCCTAAGTAGCTGTTTCTAATGGGAGGGGAATGTACATGCACCTGTGTATAACCTTTATCAAAACTGTTTCTAGCTGACCTTGAGAACCAAGATCATTTACTTTCAGCACCTATTACAGGCCTGACCCACAGTAGATGTTCTAAAGTGTTTATTGAATTGACTGAAATATATTTGGTAATATGCAGAACACAATATGCAAAAAATTCACTGTATTTTACAAACTCAGCAAATTAAAAGCAGATGTAAGATGTGTTAGAGCCAAAGAAAAATGACAAGCTGAAGAGTTCCTGATTTGAGCTACTTTGCAATATTCCTTTAACTGCTTTGACAACATATCAGAAAGATGGTCATTTAGTCTGCATTGTTTCCCATTTTTAAGTCATTAGACTTAAACTATTAAAGTTCATTAATAAAAGTCTTGCTATAAATCATCAAATAGGAGTTGTATGTATGCCAAGTGTTTAATACATAATATCTCTGGGTTATTGCCCTACCTTTGTAAGACTCAAATGACTGTCAAAGTAGAGTTTCTTTTTTTTTTTTTTTTTTTTTTTTTTTAGACTGCGCTTCTCTTATGTTACCCAGGCTGGAGTGCAATGGCGCGATCTCGGCTCACCGCAACCTCCGCCTCCTGGGTTCAGGCAATTCTCCTGCCTCAGCCTCCTGAGTAGCTGGGATTACAGGCACGCACCACTATATGCCCAGCTAATGTTTTTTGTATTTTTAGTAGAGACGGGGTTTCACCATGTTGACCAGGATGGTCTCGATCTCTTGACCTCGTGATCCACCCGCCTCGGCCTCCCAAAGTGCTGGGATTACAGGCGTGAGCCACCGCGCCCGGCCTAAAGTAGAGTTTCTTAATAATGAAAATAATTCCTCGGAACTCATTGTTGATGTGGTAAGCCAGACGGATATCCTTAAATATCTACTAGCTTTGCATGAATCTGGCAATTTCCAGCTTGTAAATACTGGGTCTTCCAGATTCATTTTTAAAATGTGGGACATTTTAGCCAGGTGTGGTGCATGCCTGTAATCCCAGCTACTTGGGAAGTTGAGGCAGGAGGATTGCTTAAGCTGAGGAGTTCAAGTTCAGCCTGGGCAACAAAGCAAGACCACATCTCTTTAAAACAACAAAACAAAAAGAATATTTTCCCATAGAAATCATGTTGTAACTGGGGGCTGGGTTTCCACACTAGCCCACAATATATACCTAAAACATGCCATTAACAGCCATAGCTTTAGTCCTGAGTCTTGGAAGCAGAGACCTTTCAAGTAAAAAAAGGGGGGAGAAACTACCAGGCACATAGTGCAGGTAAACTTTTAGGTAGATGAAGTATGTTTTTGGCCTTACATATCTCCCCTAGTGTATCTAAGTTAACATTATTTCACATCAGGCCTTCAAACAAAATTCCTATTTATTAATGATCTAGGTTGAGTAGTGGGTGTTACTGTGCATGGGTGCCACATGTGAAGCTTATTGCGGCTTACAGAGCGTTGTTAATATTTGGTTTGATTCATTTGTGAAGTAAGCATTATTATCCCCACTTGCCTCTGGTGAGAGAGGCAGAAAGTTAAATGACATGAGTAACAGCATCCAGTGGCTGATAAGCAGTAGAGCCGGGTCTTCTCACCAGAATCCATTGTTCCCACCATGTGAAATTATGCTATAAAATTGTGGCTTTTTACTTAGATTACTTTTTAAAATACTCATTATTCTTGAAGGCTTCAGAAGTAAAGAAACAATATCCAAATAAGTGAAATTGTTCCGTGATTATTGACTATGTTCTATAAATTTTTTGAGCTGGAAGTGTTTTTAGACATTTTAGACTTTTTTTTTTTTTTTTTTTTTTTTTTGCGACAGAGTCACTGTTGCCTAGACTGGAGTGCAGTGGTGCCATCTCAGCTCACTGCAACCTCCACCCCCCGGGTTCAAGCAATTCTCCTGCCTCAGTCTCCGAAGCAGCTGGGATTACAAGTGCCTGCCACCATGCCCGGCTAGTTTCATATTTTAAATTATATGCTTATGGGTCTTTTATGTTGGCTAGGAATAAATATACTTTTAAATGGTTGTTTTCTCCACTTTTGTTTATACATCTTGTATTTTCCAATCTTTAAAAAATAGGAACACAGCCTATTGGATCCCTAGGCTCAATATCTCCTAATAGTTATGGAAGTGTGAAAGAAGTGTGCACTGCAAAATTTGGCTCCAAACATTTTGTTCATCTTATTCCTAATGAAGCAACAATCTGCAGTTTACTTCTCTGCAACAGAAATGACACTGCCTGGGATGAGCTGAAGGTAGATAATGAACTTTGAATTCCATATCAAGGGGCCAAAGGAGGAATTAGTTACTTAACAGTTATTATGATTATTTTTTCATAGCTTCCCTAGGTAGTATAGAAAGCAAAAATTAAAATGATTGATGCAAAGTCACAAGTAAGCTAATTTAAATGCCTGTGGTGTTATAGTAAATGTGGCATGTGTTGCCATTTATTATTCCCACTATTTATTGGAAACCTAAAAGGCCCTTGACATCTGAACTTCTCTAAGAAATTTGAATTGTGTAGCCTTTGATGCTAATGTGTATGAATAATTCACTTAGAAAATGAGTTCCACAGTCAATACCCATCATCCACTTCTTAGCAGAGTTTATTTTTCTCTGCCACCAAAAATACATGCAACTTTTATGCAATGGAAGTGATAATCTATGGGATTGGTCCGAATTTTAAAGATTCATGTATGCTCAAGGATATATCCTTAGTAAATGTTAAAGGTCTGTGTGTTTTTTTATTATTGCTGGGTTATAACTGTATTATTTCCAGAAAATTTTGAAATAAATTTATTATTTAGACTGAAATAATTTGGGTTTTTTTTTAGATGAAGTCTCGCTCTGTTGCCCAGGCAGGAGTGCAGTGGTGTGATCTTGGCTTACCACAACCTCTGCCTCCTTGCTTCAAGAGATTCTCCTGCCTCACCCTCCCAAGTAGCTGGGTCTACAGGCCCATGCCACCATGCCTGGCTAATTTTTGTATTTTTAGTAGAGAGAGGGTTTCACTATGTTGGCCAGACCACTCTCCAACTCCTGACCTTGTAATCCCCCTGCCTTGGCCTCCCAAAGTGCTGGGATTATGCGCCCAGCAGACTGAAATAATTTTTTTTAGTGGAAGTGCCAGCAAACCTCATTGACCCAGATATTTTGAGGCCATATGTTTGTGAGTCTTAATATGAAGAGCTAAGTGTATATGAAAGAAAATATTAATCTGGCTCCATGAAAACAAACTTCTGACTGAAGTATCTTCTTTAATCTCTAAATTTTATTATTCAGAATGTATTAATCACATGACAACCTTGGCACAACAAAACTTTTGTTCTTTAACAATTAAAATCATACCCTTTGAATTCACTGTGATGTTTTGAGAGCATGATTATAATTTTTTGTCTATATGATGTGAATGTCTGATTCTGATGATTTGGGTTTTTTTCTTAGCTCACGTGTCAGACAGCACTGCATGTCCTGCAATTAACCCTCAAGGAACCATGGGCTTTGTTGGGAGGTGGCTGTACTGAAACTCATTTGGCTGCATACATCAGACACAAGGTACATAAGATAATCCTGTTTGGATTACCTGAATTCTCAGCAACTTTTGTTTTATGAGATAATAAGCCAAAATCATAATATCCTATAGCCTTCTTGTTTGTTAGTTTAAACTTTTATTTTAGGCTCAGGGGTGCATGTGTAGGTTTATTTTATAGGTAAACTTGTAGCCTTTAACACTGAATTTTTCAGTAGTCTAAATCAAATACATAATGAAAAACACTTGAGGAAAATAAAAAGATAAATATAAGGTAATATAATCATTATTATAAATATAATATTTTAGCAAATGATCACATTCTTTGAGTATTGTCTACATGTACTGCATGTTGAAGCTAGCATTCTATTATGGGAGTTCTTTTAGAGATCTCAACTGCTGCAATACAGTGATAATTGATGTTCACAAACAAAAAGGCCAAGTTTCTACAGAATACTTAAGTGTCTTCTAGAGCATCAAGAAAATACTTAATTTCATTTATTTAAGCAGTTCACATATTAGATTCTATTATAATTTTAAAATTGATATTTATGTATGATATTTATTAATTCTACCAAATAGAATTTTTTGATTAGTGTAGGAAACTCCATATTCTGACAGCTCTCAGATAAGTTTAGTGCATTGTAATCCTAATTATTTCATAAGTACTGGCCTACTTTATTTGAAAATGGATACAAAAATGTATTGGTGTTTTCCAAATATTAACAGTCTATTCATTGGGTAAATATGCCCTGTCCTTCCCAAATAACTTAGAATCTGTTTGAAGATAAAGCACATTCATGAACAGTTACCAGAATATACATGTGGAAAATAAAATTTGTGCCAATCTGTTGATGCTGAATGAACAATAATGTATTTTGAAATGGAATTGAATAAACTAGTGAAGGTTTTTTGGAGGAAGGAGGTGTCTTGAGTAAGAAAGTAGTCACTGTTTTTAAACAGTTACGGTATGGATTTTTTAAACCATCATTCAGTTATCAGTTTGCTAATACAGATGTGTTGCTTAACAACAAGGATATATTCTGAGAAATGCATCATTAGGCAGTTTTGTTGTGCAAAAAGTACAGAGTGTACTTACACAAATCTACATGTCAGAGCCTGCTATACTCCTAAGAAATATGGTATAACCTGTTGCCCCTAGGCTACAAACCTTTCCAGCATCCTACTGTACTGAATACTGTAGGGAATTGTAACACAATGGGATTTGTGTATCTAAACATATCAAAACATAGAAAAGGTTAGTAAAAATATGGTCTTATAATCTTATAGGACCATCATTGTATATGCAGTCTGTCATTGACTGAAGCATTGATATGTGGTGCATACCTATATATTAATTTTTCTCTCTATCATGGAATTCCTAGTATAAACTTTTTTACGTAGTGGGACCAGAAGACAGTTTAATGTCTTAATACCTTTTCATTAATTTAAAGAGTAGAATATTCATTTTTAAAACATTGATGTGAAAATTTACATCATGGTTTCCTAATAAAAAATACATGCATTCTCATTTTAAACAAATCTCAAACGTTTTGCAGAGATAAATAAGTACTTCATTTGGGACATCAGTCTTCAAGAACTTCCTCCTGTGTGCAGAAAAACCTGTAATACATACATTATGCCTTGTCTTTCATGTATTAAGGAGGCACTACCAAGCCTTCTTCAGAATAAGCTGACAATGGGGTTATTCTGATTCACTCATTCTGGTAACATGACTGGTAGTATGTACATTTTTACTATAACCAACCTAGTTAAGGGTTTGTAGCCTGACCAGCTGACCCATACAAGCCCATTAGCATTGTGCCATACCCCAAATTAAATGAAAATAAGTAGTACCTTTAGGAATAAGGTTTTGATTCATTATCTTACTCTTTCTTAAACATTTATATTAATTGTATGTGTTTACAATGTTTTTATTACTCTTTAGACTCACAACAACCCAGAAAGCATTCTCAAAGATGATGAATGTACTCAAACAGAACTTCAGCTGATTGCTGAAGCATTTTGCAGTGCTCTCGAATCTGTTGTTGGCTCTTTAGAACATGATGGAGGTGAAATTCTCACTGACATGAAGTATGGACACCTTTGGTCAGTTCAAGCAGATTCTCCCTGCCTTGTTAACTGGCCAGATTTGCTTTCACAGTGTGGCTGTGGATTATACAATAGCCAGGAAGAACTCAGCTGGTCTTTCTTAAGAAGTACACGTCATCCTTTTGTGCCACAAACCTGCCTTTCACATGAAGCTGTAGGCTCAGTCAGCAACCTGACTTTGGACTGTTTGACTGCTAAGCTTAGTGGCCTACAGGTGGCTGTAGAGACAGCCAATTTGATTTTGGATCTTTCATATGTTATTGAAGATAAAAACTAAGAGAATAGCGTGTTTGTATTACAAAAGAAACAGACTAGCCTGGTGTCAATTAAGAAAAATTGTGAGTGTATTTGTTCCCTCCCAAAGGCCTATTCTATGTATTTGGACAAATGACTCATAAAATTATAGATATACTTCTTTAGGAATAAAGATGATTCGTGAATAGAAATGCCATAAAATAATAAAAATACAAAGAATTATTTATTTAAAAATATTGTAGTTATCTTAGGGATTCTAAGTGGCTGCTGTACATTGTTCTAAATTTTTGTTATTATTTTGACATCAATTTTGAGAACAAACAGAAATAAAAAAGACTTCTAATCCATGCTCCAGTTTGGATACATAGTTTAGATATTTTCTAGTTAGTAGTAATTACATACACTTAAATAATAAAACTAGATCTCAAAGTCTCACAAAACATTCAGTATATATTGCTCATCAAAAGAAGTATTTATACTGTGCAGTTAGTAAAATTTCACTTTTCACAGTGCCCTTTATCTCAGCCTAGATTCTTCAGTGGTTAGGTAATTGATGTAGAACCTGGTTTGCCTGCAATTGCTAGTTTGTATCAAGCTCCACGTTTTTGTTATTTGGGGGAAATGTTTGCTTTTGGGGGGGGAAAGTAGGTTTGTATAGTAACTAAGGCGAAAGCAACTTTGTAAGGTCTTCGTTTTTAAAGTGGGAGGAGGAACTGGTTTGTTTTAGACGGAGGTTTCTCAACCTTGGCACTATTGATATTCTGGACCCCATAATTCTTTGTTGTGCGGAGGCTGCTCTGTGCATTACAGCTTATTTAGCAGCATCCCTGGCCTCTGCACACTAGATGCCAGTAGCACACTCCTGTTGTGACAACCAAAACTGTCTCCAGACATTGTAAAATGTCACCCAAAGAGCAAAATTGTCATTGGTTGAGAACCATAGACTGATAGAAAAGGAAGGACAATAAGGAGCATTCTACCAGGACTTTAGGAAGCAACCTGAAGGAAGTGGAAGTTATTTCTCTAGTCACTAGTATGAAAAAGAAACTAGAAAAGCTCTCATATTCAAAGTAGAGACACTATGTTTCACGAAGGGATGCAATTTGAATTTTATGCCAATATAAGACGTATTGATAAATTGAAGAAGAAATATAGAAGGCAGCTAGTTGAATAAGTATGGTAACAAATGTTATATTAAACTTTAGGAAAACATTTTGGAAAGTTTTGGGAAATTAACCAACCTAATGGTCAATGATCAGATCTATAGCCATGATAAAGAGAAATAGAATTATTAAGCAATCCAATATTCTTGTAATCAAAAATAATTTTACTCTGAGCCAAAGAAAAAAATCACAATACAAAGAGCAATGCCATCCATACATGTTAAATATCAGCCCACCTGAAGTCTCATAGACTATTAAAAGTGTTACTTCTTTTATTATTAGAGTCAAACAGAAGGGTAGTGTGGTAGGCAGCCTCTAAGGTGGCCCCCAGTGATCCCCACCTCCTGGTTTCAGACCTTGCATAATTTCCTCCCCTTGGGTATGGGCTGGATTTAGTGACTCCTTTATGTCTCCCATTTCCCATCTTTGTGGACAGAATCTTATAGTGATGATTATGGTTATGCCTTATCTATAATTTTATGCTGTGAGTAGAAGGCAGATGACTTATCTATAGTTACATGGGCCTACAGATGGAAAGCAACTGTGCTCTAGGAACTGCACTTAAAGAATTACCCCCTGAGGAAGCCTGGAGTGATTCCAATTATGAGATCACCCTGACTTGATTCCAGTTATGAGATTCTGAACTTTGAGCTGATGTTATGCAAAAGTAAAACTTTGGAGGATCTGAGGAGTAGGGGGAATGTATTTTGCATGTAGTAGGCAGCCTCTGAGATGGCTCCCAATAATCCCATTTCCTGGCAGTCCACCCTCTGGGTGTAGGTGGGACCTAGTGACTAGCTTCTAATGAATAGAACACAACGGAAGGGACGGGATGTCACTTCTGATATTTGGTGGTAAAAAGATAAGTTTATCTTTTGATGCCTTCTCTCTCAATGAAAGCCACCTGTCATGTTGGGAACTGCCCCCTGGAGAGACCTACATAGCAAGGGTTGAGGGAGGCTTCTAGACAACAGCTCAAAAGGAACTGAATCCTACCAACAACCACAAGAGTGAATTTGGAAGCAGGTTCTCCCCAGTGAAACACTGAGATGAGTGTAGCCCTGCCACTGGAGCCACAGGAGAGACCCTGAAGCAGAAAAGCCAGCTAAGTTGTTTTCAGGTTGGTACCTGACCCACAAAATCTGTGAGATAATAAAGGTTGTTTTAAGTCAAATTTGGGGTGTACTTTGTTATACACCAATAGATATCAAATAAAGGCAAGAGGAAGTGCTTATTTGTAATAAAGTATTTACTGAAAACGTAGTCACACAAATGGAAGAAAGCATTCTTGATGCCATGCCTTTGCCTTTTCATCATCTCCCCAAACCTAAAAGAAGGATTCTTCATGACATGTGTTTACAATGGTCACTGAAGAAGGTGTGTCACATTGGTATTGGGAATTGTCCTGGTTCTCCTTGTCCTTATCCTGCATTTTTTCAAGCCCCTCCAAGAAGGGGTGACACTGTGAACCTCTCCAACTGATCTTGTAGATTAGTGGTTTCCATTTTTCATGATAGTGATTTTTTAAATTCTGTCATTTTTAGTTTTGCCATAAAATTCGATGAAACATCAATGCTGTTATTTTGAATATATCACAAATTAGTTAAAATATAAATGCCTCTGTGTTTCCTAAAGTTGTAATAATCCTTAGTAGAAAACACTGGAAATAGAGTAAAAGAAACCTCCCTCTATAGTTCAAGAAAATCAGCATTCAAACTTAGATGTTAAAACATGAAATGAAAATTCTTGATGAAAATAATTTCAGAGGAGTTCCTTTTGGCAGTAATAAATGATAGGTAAAAATAGCAACTAAGGTAAGCCTTAGGCAGTGTTTTGTGACTTAAAGTAAGATTGAGGCCTGAATATTGCATTTGCATTATGAAGTACCTCAGGAGAGAGAACAGGAAACCCTGATCGCTGTGGAAAGTAAAGGGCGAGTGTACAGAAGAGAATGAAGTCAGCTCAATACTTTCGTGGGACTCTCAGGACATGTAGCATTAAACATTATTGAACCATAGGAGTCCAACAGGATTATCATCTTATTAATCAAAAGATGTTAGGATTTTAGCAGCAAGGAAAAAAGTGGAGAGCTAAAGCAAATTAAAGGAAACTTTTAATCAAATACTTATTCGGTCTTAAAGATATCCTCTTTAATTCTTCCATTTGTACTCTATTAAAGAGTCTTTACATGTTAGACATTGTAAATCAACCGTTAGATTGAAGCATTTTATATAAGTGAAGCATTTTACACAAGATATTTAAACTTTATATCATTAATATCTTTTATCATAGATATCCTTGAACTCATTTAGTTTGTATAATCAAAGCTACCTAGGCATTTACATGACAGACAAGAAATTTTAGGTACCCATAGATCAGCCATTGTACTCTGTATTTTCATATTGTTCATATTGTTGAACAGTTATTTGGATAACTTTAAAATAAAGTAATATTGTTTTACAGTCACATTATACAGGTTATTTAAAATTATCATGTACAAAAATCAATGCAGGCCTTGACAAAACATATGATTAGTTAGGTTGTTCCTTCCTGATAATCTTTGGGGAATAGACAAAGAGACTAAATGTCTCCTACAGGGCCCGGTTTCAGCTGTCTAAATAAGCTATCTCTTAATCAGAAGGAAATTTTGAATATAATTTTTTTCATGTAGCTGAGTGCTTCTATTTAGTATCTATGGTATCCCATAATGAAAATTTTTGCCAATCATCTACAGAATTTGAATTTTGATGCACCAAAACACAGTGTTAGCCTCCTTTGGGATTATAAGTAGATTTATATGCTGCTTTATTAAGAATATAGTAATACTCACAAAAGAGAATGAAATTCCTGAAAACTATTCCTAAATGTAGATAAAGCTTTTTGCTGGAGAGATTATTAGACTTGGCTCACTAAAAGCCATGGAATACTATTATCTGTAATAAAGTGTGAATTTAGAGGGAAATAAAACAGCTTGACAATGTCCTATTAAAAATTTTGAGAAAATATTTATGATAAATATCCTATTTTAGCCATCTTGATTGTTTAGAGTATTGTGATTTCATTTCGGGAAGTATTAGTTGAGTTCTTACTATTTGCCGGTTAGGATAGTTAAACACATTGGTGGTGAGAAGGAAAAAAAAAAACACAGAAATTTGTTTACAGTCTCTGGCCTCAAGGATTTGATCATCTACCCAGGGAGATTTTTTTTTAATTATTAATTTTATAAGTTAAATATGTTGTAATAGAAAACTGGGAAAATATGAATCAGACACACACCCCCCACACACAATAAAGTCAAGTGTATTCCTACTATCGCCAGAGATCACTGTTTACATTTTTTATGTATCTTTTCAATTCTTTTTTTGCATGTTTTTTCCAGAAAGATGATCATACAGTATGTTCTACTTTATAATCTGTTCCTTTTACTTAATATGTCATGAACATCATACACATGTAGAATTCTACACATTCAATTATTACATCATTTTTCTTTTAACTTTTATGGGTACATAGTATGTGTATATATTTATGGGTTATATAAGATATTTTGATGTAGGCATACAATGTGTAATAATCACATCAGGGTAAATGTAGTATATTATATCATTTTTAATGCCTGAAGAAATTTCATTTATAGAGATTATGCCATAATTTAGATAATAAATTGGCATTAGTAAACCCTTGGGATGCTTTCACAATTGTTTGTGTTAATGTAAGCAACAATGCAGTGAACACGTTGTGTATATTGTTTTCCCATATCCCTGATTATTTCCTCAAGATAAATAAATATAATTCAGGTTTCTGGGTCCAAGCATATTGGAAATGAAAAGACTATATATAATCTACCCACAGTAATTTTTTTAAAATATAAATTTTAAAAGGAGAGTCCATTTCCAGTTACTAAATTGACAAAGATAATGACTGTTTTGGCCAAAGTTTAGGAAAAGGAGCATTTCACACTGTGGTTGGGGTATATTGATGTGACATCTGGAAGACAATTATATAATAGATTCCTTTCCATTTCTAGTACACTAGTCAAATGATTCTGAAATGCCTTCCACATTTTCTGTCAGTAAGTTTATCTTTCTCATATGCATTTATATTTTTGTATTTATTTTCTCATATGCATTATTAAAGATATGTACATATTCAGATAATTTTTAGAGCAGATAGGCTGAATGTTCAGCTGCACATCCCCAAGCTAGACATGATGCCTTTTTAATGGTACAGTTTTATTAACTTGTCACTTGTCACCCTTCTATTAACTTGTCACTCACAAGCAGCAGCAAAACACCTATGTGGTATGATGAATTCAGTAAACAAACTATTGCCCTTAAGTTTTTACAACCTTCAACTCTTTCGGTGTCTATGAAATGGGATGGTGTATTAGTTTTTTAGGGCTGCCATAACAAATTGCCACAAAAGTAGTGGCTTTAAACAACAGAAATATATTCTCTCTGTTTGGGAAGCTAGAAGTTTGTCATCAAAGTGTTGTCAGGGCTATGCTTCTCCGGAGACTCTAGGGTTGCTCATTCCTTACCTTCTCCAGCCTCTAGTAGTTGCCACCACTCCAATCAGTCCTTGTCTTCACATGACCCTCCCCTCCACCTGCCACCCCTGCTGTGTCTCAAATATCCCTCTCCTTTCTCTTACAAGGGTACCAGTGATTGGATTTAGGGGCAACCCTAAATCCAGGATGATGTTATCTCAAGATCCTTAACTGCATTTGAAAAGACCCTCTTTCCAAATAACATCGCATTCGCAGGCAGCAGAACTTAGGTCTTTGGACATATCATTCAACTCGCCACAGATGGAAAAAAAACTGCCAAGATATAAATTCTTCTCCAGGGCTACAGTTGCACAGAATGTAGAACACAGTCATCCTAGGGTATTCTTGGGGCATTAGTTCCTGGACCCCTGTGGATATCAAGTTCCTTATGTAAAATGGCACAGTATTTGCTTGTAACCTACACACATTCTCCTGTATACTTTAAACCATCTCTAGATTACTTATAATACCTTATAATGCCTAAGACAATGTAAATGCTGTGTAAATAATTGTTATGCTGTATTTTTAATTTTTGTTATTTCAAATATTTCCCATCCACAGTTGGTTGAATCCACGAATGATGAACCTGCCATACAGAAGGCCAACTGTGTGCCCAATGTGGACAGAAGGCACCAATGCCAGATTTTACCACCAAGTTTATCAAATAGCTTCACCATTTATTGTCATTCTTGAATTATAATCGTCTTTTTTGTAGGGTGCAGTCTCTTTTTGTGCTGAAATTGTCCTATATCTGACATTCTTCCCTACTTCCCTTTTCTACCTGCATCATCTTCATTCTTACTCTCCTGCACGAGGTGTCCACATATAAACTAGCTATTGGGGCTGGGCGCTGTGGCTGACGCCTGTAATCTCAGCACATTGGGAGGCCGAAGCAGTTGGATCACTTGAGGTCAGGAGTTCAAGACCAGTCTGGCCAACATAGTGAAAACCCATTTCTACAAAAAATACAAAAATTAGCTGGGCATGGTGGTATGCACCTGTAATCCCAGCTACTCGGGAGACTGAGACATGAGGATAGCCTGAACCCGACAGGTGGAGGTTGCAGTGAGCCGAGATTGTGCCACGACAGCCTGGGCAACAGAGTGAGACTCTGTCTAAAAAAACAAACAAAAACAGAAAAAATGACTTATTGGGCATTGAACCATACTTTCTCTGTGCTCAAAAAATTTATATAAAGACATATGAAGAAAAATTTTTACACTACTTTTGTAAAACAAAAAAAAAAGATCATTTTATATAACTTTGATTTGCTTTTTTCTGAAGTCTCTAAGTCAACTGAAAAAGCTAATTCTTTCCTTTATGGATCACATACTATGCCTGTGGAGACTGTGGTAGAGGATGTTGGCGTCCCACCCAGGTCCCATTTGAATTGGCCTAGTGTACCCATCCCCAAATCCTGTGAGAATTGGCTGCTAATGGCTTACGGCTACCTCTTCTCAGGAGAGCTACTCTAAACCCAGAGGCCACCTTGCCAGAGAGGTTATGCCAAGGAGATTTTGTCTGCCTTCTTCCTGTGTGTACCCATAGACAATGACTTTGTACATATATTCTTTTTAAGAAGGCCGGTAACTTTGTTGTATTCTTACCTACTTATGTTTTCATTTATAAGAGTTAGAGTCTAATGAGTGAAATCTCTAGGTCAGAAAAAGATATTTTATTAAATTAGATTTATACTTATTAAATTAGATTTATACTTGGTACTCTTTACTAAGTATTGCCTCATTATTTTGCAAAAGGCTGTAACAATTCATATTTCTACCAGCCATTCATAAGTACCATGTTCCGTAACCTCATTATCTATTGTCCCTGCCAGTTGGTAATAGGTACTATGTTTCTTTTTTATATTACCAATTATTAGTTCCTTGTTATTTTGTTTTGAAGCTTCTGATCACTAATGAATTTGAGCATTTAAAAAAGATATTGCTAGCCATTCGGATTTGTTCTTTGAATTATCTATATTTGTTGCCCATTTTCTTATTTTTCTTATTTGTAAGAATGCTTTGTGCATTATATCATTAAAGATATTAACCTTTCATCCATCCTCTGTGGTACAAATATTTTTTGCAAATTGTTTTCTATTTCTTTCGATCACAGGATGCTTTATCAATTAAAAGGCTTTAATTTTTCTCTAATCAATTTGTTTATGTTTTCTAGTCTGGGTTTCTTATCTTGATTAAAAACCCTTAGGTCTTTTAAATATTTGCCTAAGAATTTTGCCTTGTACATTTAAATTTTAATCTATCTGTAATTTTACATATATATGATATAAGGTAGAGGTTCAATTTAATTTTCTTCTAGATAGAAAAATCAGTTGTGCCAACATCAATTATTTTTAAAAAATTATTTTCCCAACAAGTTGAAATACCACCTTTGTCACATATTACATTCTCATTTATGTAGAAATCTATAAACTGTCTTTTCTCTTTGACTGATTTCTTTACCTGTTCTTAAAGCAATATCACACTTATTGATATAATGATCTCTTAAAATTTTTCGTATCTGGTAAAGGAATTCCCTACTTCACTATTTTTCTCTTTAATGTACCCCTTGGCTATTTTTGAGTTTTATTCTTTCATATAAATTTACAGATCATTTCAAGTAATTATATAATGAATCACCTTGGAATTCAATTTAGGTTTATATATTAATTTGCAGAAAAATTAACATTCTTGGGTTATTAAGTGTTTCCACTCAAGAATGTGGTAGTCATTTCATTTATTCAAATAATATTTCGTTATCTTTATTGAGATTTTAAGGTTTTCACCATAGGTTTTAAACGTTTTTATGTTAATTTTTAAGCATTTCATTGTTATGTTGCTATTTTGAGTGCAATAATTTTTAATACTAATTTTCGATAACTAAATGCCCAATACTATATTACTGTACTTTCTATATTTTGGAAGACCATGAATACTGCTCACTGCTAATAGAGATAATAAATCACAGATACTTTTAAGATCCATGAGGTTGTTTTCTTTTTCACATTTAACTTTTCTAAAATTGGAATGTGTCAAAATCAAAGTATACTTTGATTTTAAAAGGTTTTTCTTTAAAAAATATAATATATAAAGAAAAACCAAATCATATACAATAAAAAATTATATTTAAAGTTGATGTTTTATAGACATCAGACAATTTTACAGACTTCTACAGATTTGAGAAAATAAGTGAATCTATACAGTTTACAGAGCTGGAAGGAAGTGTGGCACAAATATAGAGAATTATGGTATTTTGAAGACAGAAAAACCCAGGTTTAAATACTTGAATAAAGTCTAACTTTTGTGAGCTTTTTAACCTTACGTGGTTGTTCTTAAGGACCAATGAAATGAATTAAAAGCTGTTACTACAGAGCCAGGCACATAATCCTCACTCAATAAATAGGAGATAGGCAAAATCTTCCAGTAAATTCCAACAGACTGACAATCCCACATTATTTTAGCAATTAAAAAAAAAATACACACACAGTCAGAATGTCTTAAAAAAATTTAACTGAGATAAGGCAAAACTAAAAATGTATAAGCTGAGTGGAGTTGTTACAAGGATACTTAATCATCTGTTTAA